TTCAAAAAGCACCGGTAAACATGGTGTAACGATGCATCATATTGAGGAAGTATACAGTAATTACGGTAGTGTGAAGGAATTTCCAAAAACACTCAAAACTTAATAATCTCTGGTTTATTTTTACTCGTCGCTGCGCGCTTCTCTTCTCCATCACATTACGATACGGCGTCCCCCTTGAGCTCGATCCATCTCACCTATGGGTGCTACTCATAATATAACCATTTTCGGAAAACTCCGTGGAACAACTGATCGTCTGCGCCTCACTTCCCCTTTCAATCCCAATTTCTCGCCGTTCCTTATATATGTAGAATAACGCGAGCGGTACATAAACTTTATTCCCTTAAAGCAAATCCAAGAACGAATTCGCGGGCAGAAACCACCGATAATGAAGTTGTAGGTGAAAGTTGACCAATAATGAAAGAAAAAGTAGAAAAAAACGTCGAACAGGGGCTTAGACAGGGACTCCCTCTGCCACTCAGCAATGGAGGAAGACGCGTGTTGGACGAGTTGTCTGAACCTGCCAATACGTCGAACGAAGCATGCTCCTGAAAAGTAAAATGGAAGATATAGCGATCATTCGAGGATTGCCTTCTCCGCGAGGGCGAAAGTGCGTCCGTCTGAAGAAAAGTCAAAAAAACTGCAGCGTCACATCGGTGGCTTTAAAGGACCGAGCTGAGATAGTCCTTGTGGTCCCAACCGGCCGCAAATGTCTCCGCAGCCGGTCGCGCTCTCCAAAACCTGCAAGTGTTTGGAACCCTCTTGGACTGTTGCTTTGAATTTCCGGAGTAGGGGTGATTTGCATGCGTCCACAGAGATGCTATTGGAACTTTATGGACAGCGTGAATTTTGTGCGCCTGCTCCTTTAGTGGAAACTCCGAGCTAAAACTGATGTACGAAATTGCTTAGTAGTGCAGCTTGAGCTACAGAGTTGACAGAATATGAACAGGGATGCAGGGCCTCTATAGGCACGGATCCAACACGCTTACCGCGCTGTGGCTCCTACTAGTGAGTCTTATCTCTTGTTTGCCTTCACTGCCTCTGGGAACTGGGCGAGCTCATGGTCATCATAAACTCATGATAACTGTCAGTTGAGTCCATTTTTTACCGTCCCAAATAATCTGTAGTATGCATAGTTGCATCACGAATGCAGTGCCTCGGTGATGTTGAATGAGGCAATAAGGTGGTAAGAAGATGATAAAAGTCTGTAACATGATACAGATCAACACATTCTCAAAGTGAGGAAGGGCTGATCTATTCCCCACTTCTGACATTTCGTAATAGCCAATCTTTAAATTTCACGCAGGTACTATGCGTTCAATCTGATCATGCCATGCATGCTCACTATGGTATTGGTGGTGCTAGGATTCACTCTCAGTCCGGAGACGTGTGAGAAAGTTGGCCTCCAGATCTCCGTATCGCTGGCCATTTGCATTTTCCTCACTATAATGAACGAGATGACTCCACACACATCCGAAGCCGTTCCTCTGCTTGGTGAGAGCATTTTGATTTTTTGTAAAAAAAAAGGCAATGAAACCTTGATTCACTATTCAATTAGCTTTCTTCCTGTTGCATTTTGAACAATTCGCTTTCTATTTCAGGGGTCTTTTTTCAAAGTTGCATGGTAATATCGGTGCTGGCGACATCTTTCACCGTGTTCGTACAGAGCTACCACTTTCGTAGCCAACACAACACACTTCGCATGACATTCTGGGTCAGTACGCTCTTCACGATAGTAGATATGTTTGAAGCAACAACCCGGATCAGATTGATGTGATACCAGGCCGACAGTGATGTGGATGCGCCGATATAATTCATTGTAAAAAAAAACAAAGGATTCCGCTGATGAAACTGTAAACAATGACCTCACTCTTCCCCTTTGAGAGGAGGTAGGGGCGCGCCTGGACAAACTTGTTGATCCATAGCTCCACCAAACCGTGCACATTTAAAATAGCCGAGACTTCATAATAGATGTCGCATGTCAGGCGCAAGGGAACTATTTGCTCAGCTTCGTTCAGGTTAGATTGGCTCGTTTTTGTAAGTTCTGGCGTCTTTTCTCCCGGTTTTGAGTTGCGACGACTTCACTTCTGTTATTCTCGTGTCCAACTCTATGCTATCCTCAAAGTAGAGTGTTTCACTCGAGCTCATCTGCGTTGTTGCTTCAATAGTGGCGAAATTCTGTTCTATTCTGTTTCTACTGGCATTATTCTTGCAAGAATACCCAGCAATAGGATGACGACTAGGCCTGGAGGATCACTACCTACTCCTTAAAAGCATGGTCTGGGTTTTACTAGAGAAGGCTTTCAACTTCCCAAGGAAGTTCGAGTGGAGGCCCAGGCATATTGATAGGGTCTGGAACGCTGAATATAATTATTGGCAGCGTTTGAATTTGGAAAAACGGCCATCTGAGGCAGCTGGCACGGGGGCAGGCCGTAGTGGCGCGCGGCGCAGTTGTGTGGAACCCGAACTGTTCTTTCCATTGTTTAAAAGACATCTATGTCAAAGAAGCCTGATATCGGCTCTCATTTACGCTTGTCTAGGCTCTCGAACATGCATTTCCTTGATAAGTGAACTATATATTCTAGCCAAGAATTACCACTCCAAACAATAGAAAATGACGACCCTTTGACAGTAATGAAGCAGCGCAAAATGTGTCAGAGATAGAGCTGTTGTTCGCAAATCGCACATCTTATTGATGCTACCTCCATGCAACCACTAACAAAACAGTCGACGTTCTTGAGATCAAACAAGTAGTCACCAGGAGAAACAACGCGCCTGGGTGGTCGTGCCTCGTTATATCCTGCTTTGTACTACGAGAATTTCAAGAAGCTGCAGGACCTAGGGGCGCAAAACATTCTATAATATTAGGTTGTCCCATAATTAGTGAATCACTTTACATTTATTGCTATAAAAATCCAAGAAAAATGGTAAAGGCGTGAAACATGTTTTGCGAAGTAGCACCCACATTATCCTACCTGAGCATTTAGTCAGCCCATTTACATGCTGCCTTACGTGGCTGATACATCAATTTTTCTGGAACCTATTTTTGAGCTCCCTTCTTCATCACTTCTGATTAGGATCTTTCAAACGCCAACAACATAGAGAATCAACCAGCAGATAGGCGAGGGCACGCTCCCTCAATCCACGGTGCACTTATGGTTCACTCTATTCCGGAGGTTGGCTTTTTTATTTGAAGATGACCCACACTCCAAGGTACCCCTCGACTGGCAATCTCACTGCCCTAGCCAGCGCCACTAAGAATGGAACTGGACAAACTAGTCGCTATTTGCCAGAGCGTATCCAACTTGTTAAGATGATGGAATGTAGACAACTCCGTAGAGTCGCGAAGATTTCAAAATATAAAATTTGTTATCTCCCGTGCTTTGAGCCCGAATCAGCTCCAAACACGATCTGACATCGTCATGTTCCTTCTGATCTCCCTTAGTTCCTTACAGTGATCATCCAGCATATTCACCAGGGTTGTGGACTGGGTGGAGTGTGCTAGCAAATCCACAAGGAGCAGTAGCCTAGCTTGAACGATTCGGGAGTTCTGACAGCAAAAGCCCAACCTCCTCTAAGTCCGAACTTCCGAGATATTGGTGAAACACGAGAGGGACCTTGCGCTGGGAACCGCCGCCCAGTAATACTAGGGTCACTGAAGAAGATCAACATCGACAGCGTAATGGCGACGCGTTCAATTTGAAAGTAAAGCAAGACAAAGTCTGCTTTTTTCCTGAGGTCGTTCGACCCACCTTGCAGAGAATATTCATAAAAAGTTGAGA